AGGATGGTATACACATGAATTTCATTATCACAACCCTTTGTAATACTTAAATTTATTTTCAGATCTCCATTAATTAATATTAAATAAAACAGTAAATAAAATAATAGAGGTACAATAAATATAAATCTAAGTGAAAATAAATAATTTTTTTTTTATAAATGTGTTCACATAGAGTTAAATATACATATATATGTTTTCGTACTTTTACGGGATATCCTCAATTGAAATTGTGGTGGATTTTAAAAATTCTTCTAAATTTAAGTGTTATCAATTAAGATTTTAATAAAATTCAATGAAATCCATTAAAATTTAGGTATTTTCAATAATTAGTAGATTTATAAAGATTTTATATTTAATGAGATTGTTATGAAATTTGTGGAAATCTATTCAAATTCACAAAATCTTAGTTGAGGAGACCTCTTTGTTTTTTTTTTAAATATTGTTACCTGTTAATTAATTCACATCTCTCTACCAATCATACTAATAAAATATTTGGTAAAACTAATATTAACTCATAATTGCCATTTTAAAAATTTCATGCAATTCATGTGTAAGTGCTCGTATGTTATCAGTTAGAACCAACTTAAATTAATTTATTTTAATTGTTGATTTTTTTTTTATTTTTATTTTTTTTTCCATTTTACAAGTTCAAGGCTGAGAATCTGAGATGAGATCCATCCCTTGATTTTTTTTTTTTATAATCACTTTCTTCTTTATTAGATCTAAACAAAAATTTGCAAATTTAATTTTAATATTAATGCTCACCCGAACTCGAAGACACTCGTGGATCTTGAAAGAATCATACTTCAAAAGATAGCAGATAAAGTTGGAGATATTAAATTTATATAAATCAGTAAATCACACATCGAAAATCTATACATGTAACTCTCGTACCTTACAATAGAAAACATGACAAATCACTACGCTCCACGATCATGGTGCTCATGTCGGACTAGCTTTGCAACAATCGATGACTGGTTCCGAAAGAAAACTGCTATGCCGACATCGTCATTCACGTTGCTCCTTAGCAATCGTACCATTGTTATATTCAAATCGTGTTTTTTTTTTTTTTTTTTTTTTGCTGAACTTCGTTTTAAGTCATTTATCGGTCAAATTAACATTTATAATGAGTCCAAAGTTGCCTGACCCAATAACTCAATTTTGGCAAATTGACTTTAAGCAATTTGAAATAGGGATTATGAACATGCCCTCAAGTTCAATCAACCAGTTAATTACATAAATGTCTTCTTCCTCATTTTCAATCTTCCATTACGTTCGCCATAATGATGGCAAATAATGTGGATATTTTAATCATACATTCTCTCAAAAATTATTATTCAAAATTTTATTTTTGTCAAATAATGATTATCAAACAGGGGTTTAATTAATTAAATATGTCACATTTATTTATTCAAGATTGAAATCTTGCAAGGTGTCAAGGTAACTGATTTGGGGAAAATTTTCACATCTTTAATGCTCGATTAGCATGCCAATTCTATTCCACAAAGAATAATTCCTGGTATACAGAAATTAGTTACACGAGCCTTACAGGCCCCTCACTGTAGCGCGGGCCCCACCCAAATGTATTTCTTTAAAAAAAATATGTGCCCCTCTTGTGTCTAACCTAGCAAGGGCCCCTGTAATGCAAGCAGAGCTCTTTCACAAATTATACTCCTTCTAGATGGATTGATTAATTTACATCACGATTTTTACTTATTATTATTATTTTTAAATCATTTACATGTAAAATTGATATTTATATTTTTAGGTGAGTGGGTGGGTGGTTGGTAAACGAAATATTTTTCGTCAGAAACGTGTTTTAGGTGACAAAATCCAAAATAATAAGATGCCCAAATTAATTCGAATATGCTCACAGCATTTTTCTTTCTTTTTGTTATTTAATAATTTGTTTGTTACGTGTGGTCCTAAAATTTTGTACCAATGGCTGCTTAAATCTTGGTCAACATTTTTCCATTTTGAGGACTAGTCAACGTCGTGCAAAATTCAAACACGATCAATCGATTTTTCGACTTAATACTTTATTTTTAGCTGGTAAAATTAAAATTAAATATATTTACATTTCTTCAAGGTGTTTTCTTCCCTAAGAAAGCGGGTAAATAATCCGATTTGACATAAATATTTACATGTTTAAGCTCTCTCTTCTAGTAGTTTTTAAGTTATGCTCGATAGACTCTAATTAACAAAAATAAATAATGAATCATATAGCCCGATAAAAATCGCGACGTATTTTTATCGACAATCAGAATAGTAATCTCAAGAGAGTTTATTGATCACAACTATTCACGACTATCAATATTCGATCCATCCCTTTTTGAAAGACTGTTGAGTCTTCCGATTTTTAATTTTATTCTCAAGTAATTATATATATTAATAAACAATCTTCTGCCCTATATTTGTAATTATAATTTAGGAAATGTTCGATAATTTTTTTTGAAGTTATCAATTGGTTAAATTTCAATCTTAGCGATACGTTTTATTGAATTCATAATTTTTATCATTTTATTTTATTTTTTTTAAGTTATTAATTGGTTAAATTTCAATTTTAAAGATACATTTATTGGATTCATAATTTTTATGAAATTTTTAACCACAATTAATTCAATTATTGTCAAAATAAGTTAAAAATTTTATTAAAAGTTTGGTCAAACAACCCCATAATAAATAATTAATACACGCATCTCAATATTTTATATTTTATACAAAATCCAATCTTGTAAGAGGACAAGTGGACACAAAAAAATGAAATTAAACTTCATAATTGATGGTCTGTACACAATTTTTTCTCTCAGTGTCCGCTAGTAGAAGTCAGCAATTTATGGATGAAGCAAAAGCAGCGGCCGCCGCCGTCTCCGTCGTCCGAGGAAAGGAAGAGACCCAACTACAACAAATCTTGAAGATTTTAGAAGCTATCAAGAAAGTTTCCAATGATTTAAAATCAAAACCGAGTTCCGACTCGGTCGACTGTATCAAAACGTTAATGCAGCTGCAAACGAAGTCTGACTCAGTTTTCTCCGCCGACCCACATCTCTCTTCTGTTATTCAACATCTATCCAAGTTAAATGAGTTAATCCAGGATCTCCTGGATTCAAACCCTGGTGGCGGTATCAGATCGTTCGTGACTCGGCGAGTGAGGTTCCATGAAATCTCCCGAGTTTCGAGCTTGATTGAGTCGGAACTACAGGCATGGATAGATCGTGAAACAGTATTGAATTTGACAAAAACATTGCGCCAAATCCATTATTCAGAAGATTCAATTCTCACATCATCAGATGAAGAAATTCTATTGAAAAAAATGGATTCTTTCCGGGAAATTCTTTCGAAAGGTTTCGATATAAACCTCCAAGATTTTCTTTTAAAATCTGGGATTTTCTCAAACCTCGAAAGGGTTTTACGCAATCCACTTTTTTCTACAAGGATTCGTGAAAAATCCGCCACAGCCATCAAAGAGCTTGTTCTTTACAACAAAGATGTATTCGTGGGTCTTGTATTAATCGGACAAACTGTCAAATCTTTAGTATCAATGGCTTCTCTTTCTTCTCTACAAGTTCTTTGCTCTCTTATAAAGGCAATCAAGAGCCCTTTAGTCGATGAACTGGAATCATGCGGTGGAATCTCAAAGATTGTTGACTTATTACAATATTCTGAGGATTTTGGATTACGATTAATGGCATTCAACTGCGTTCTTGAAATTGGGTATTATGGAAGAAGAGAGGCTGTTCAAGCAATGCTGAATGCGGGTTTGATCATGAAACTGGTGGAATTGCAGAGGTTGGGAAATAATCAATTCGCAGGGTGTGTGGTTAAATTTACGATCCAATTGGAAGTTGGAGAAGGGCTAAGGCAAAGAGAGAGGAGGAGTTTTAAGCAAGAAATATTGGAGAAAATAAAAGAGGCATGTGTTTCTGATGTTGAAGCTGCCACCATTGTTGCAGAGGTTTTGTGGGGGGCTTCACCTTGAAAATTTGGAATTTCCGNNTCACCTTGAAAATTTGGAATTTCCGCAGGGGGTAAAAATGGGAATTCATTGTTTTTTTTTTTTTTTTTTATTCTAGAAATTTTTGGTGAAAAAAATGTGTTGTAACATATGCGTGGAATTGTGTTTATTGTAAGGATTTTGCTACTTACACATAAAAAATGTATATAATGGATTACATAATATGATGTTAAGGGCAAAGATTAGATGAAAAAATTGACTGTGTTTTAATCTGACAAATGATGTAATGTCATGTGTCATTGTATAATCCATTTCGTAAGTCACATGTTTATTTAAATTGGGTAGAATTGTTCTACTTGATGTATTGTAGTTAAATATTTAAATTGTTCAAAAGGTTTATTTTATTTTACAAAGAGCTGAGTTTGGATGACGAAAATATTTTTCCCTATTTTCTCAGAACTAGCTATTAAAGACATTAAAACATTCTAGACAAGTAATTCTCGTCCATACAAATGTTATCAATTTCTAGTACATCTCTATAATGTCTTCGAGCCCATTTGATTGGGTTTTAAAAAGTGAAAAGGTGTTTTCAAGGTTGTTTGGCCACATTTGAGAGAGATTATAAATTTTGGATCAGTGATTGATGGAAAAATGTGTGATTGAAAAATAATGAAAAATTTTAAATTTGTGTATAGTATTATTTTATTTGGAGAATGTGTTATAAAAATTAAGAAAAAGAAAAATTTTTAAAAAAATTAATAAAGACTAAAAAGTTACTTTTGAACATGTTTGGATAATTTTCTAAAAGTATTTAGAGAAAATTGTCCTAATATAGCTTACCCATGAAATTTTTCTAAAAGAAGCAGAAGCAAAAGACAGAAATCATGTCAAACAAATCTTTAGCCCCGTTTGGTGCACATTTTTGGAAAAAGAATGTATTTTTACTGTTGATGTGATGATAAATATATAGTTGAAAAAGAAGGAAAATATATTAATGTGATGAAAAATATTATTTTATTAAAAATGCGTGGTTAAAAATGAATAGAAAAATGAGAATGAAAAAATAATGTGGCTCAAACATGACATTAATATATTTTGCGCGAGTAATAGTAAAATAATTTGTTTGTCATCTAGTTTTGGACCATAAGTAGGGTTCAAAATTGATTGTCATAATAGTATACTCGAACAACGAGGCAACTTTATATGCTTGACATCGTGTCATTTGTAGTACGGGACCATATGTGAAGTCAATTATTTTGCTTTGTCCGCATCAAGAATGGAAATGTGAAAAAATTGAACTTGATGTTTCCTTCATCCA